TTTTATAATTTCACACAACTTGTTTCCCAGAATGAAACATCTATATTAAGTATACTCACTTTTATTTGTATAGCCAAATCACACCCTTTTCAATCTCCTTCTGTGTATACAAAGCCCTAGGAATACAGTGAATGGATAGTGATGAGACCTGTAATTTCACTGGTAAAGGGAATTTTTTTGGTGAGTAAATTTCATCTTCCAAAGCATGAAGACACTGAGAAATTAAGTGACCTGTGCAAGGTCACACAGGTAACATGTGTCAAAGGCTAAACTTGAGTCTAGATATTTCTGGTTAAGAGGCCATACTTCTCAAAGACAAAACTCAAAACAATCTCTGCCTTTCAGTAGTTTATATTCTACTGGGGGGATTTAATATGTAAACAGATAAGCACATACATGATTACTTGAGGAAGGAGAGAATACTGACAAACTAAGAGATTGTGAAAGGCTTCCCATAAATTTAAAAAGAAAAAGAGTTTACCTTTTGCCCTTACATTGGAATTTGAAACTGTTTCCACTCCCAGTCCCCAACAGCCTCCATTAGCTGACATGATCAGTGAGAAAAATATTTTCTCTTTTTGCTAGTAAGTTTGGAAGAGAGTGAAATGGTTGATTAAAGTCATTTGAAAAGACAGTGATATTGATTAAAATTGAGTTTAATGTCACTTTTTTTTGTCCAGGAAACAGATGAATGACTGTCATGTCTGAGAGAGAATTGGCTGCTTCTTTTGAGCATTCTAAATTGCTCAAATTTTGGTAAGAGAAAAAGAAAACATAAATATTTTAAAAATCTGTGGACTTGGTTTTATAGTTTGCCTCATCTTCAAAATTATTTCATATTCACAACATTCATACAATCAGGAGTGCGGCACAGTGAACAGAGCACTAGACTGCAGGCCAGAAGACCTGGGTTTGATTCCTGACTTTATCCCTCAGCTGTGTGACATTGGACAGGCCACATAACCATGCTGAGCCTTAGTTTTCTCATCTAAAAAATAAAGAAAATATTATCTGTACTAGCTACCTGAAGATATTATGGTGAGGAAATGAAGCACTTTTTTGCCTTTTAAATGTTACACATGTTTGTGTATTGGTGCTATTAAATCAATAAGCATTTATTAAGAAGCGTTTACTCTGTGCCAGAGACTGCACTAAGCACTGGGATTACAAAGAAAGGCAACAGACAGGAGTAGAATTTATTATAAGAAAAAAAAATCAGGGGTAGTATTCATGATCTCAGACAAAGTTAAAGCTAAAATAGATTTAATCAGAAAAGAAAAGTAGGGAAACTACACTGTGTCAGCCGTATTAATCAATATTGTTTTAGACTATTTAAAATAACTAGGCGGTATAAGGTTGGAATATTGCTGTGGTATAGGAAATGATGAGTTGGTGGACTTAAAAAAAAAAGGAAAAACTCAGATGTATGAATGAAGAGGTTATCCACCCTCAGAGAAACAGAGGATGAATACTTACAGTATGGTCTTACATAGAGGCATATGAATGTATATATCTCTATATGTGTATGATTATAGATATCTAAATATATGTGTATGTAAATATGTATTATATGTGTACATGTGTGTCTATGTGTATATCCATATATGTGTATGCGCACATGCGCACACACACACACACTCACACACACACACAATTAATTGTAGCCTTCTTGGGGGAGGGGAGGAAAGGGGTAAAAAAGAGTACAGCAGAGAACAAAAGCAAACTTACAAGAAAGCAAAGTTGGACAGTTCAGAATACAATGTGTAGTGTTCATTATACAAGCTTTCTTAAAATGGAAATTTAATTTCTATATATTTTGAATCCTCTCAAGTTCTGCTGTGCACATGGCAATACTTTTAAAAATTTTCTTTTTTTGTATTTAAGTTTTAGTATTTAATTTTATTATGTTTCTTTTTTTCTTATTATATATTTAAGTTTTAGTATTTAAGCTTAAAATACTTTTAAAAAAAGAAAGGCAAAAGACAGTCTCTGTTTTCAAGAAGCTCACAATCCAAGTGGGTGGAGGGAGGAGATAATATGCAAACAACTAGGTACTTATATGGGCAGCTAGGTGGCACAATGGATAGAACACTGGGCCTTCAGCCCGGAAGATACATCTTCCTGAGTTTAAATCTAGCCCTAGACACTTACTAGCTGTGTGACCCTGGACAATTCACTTAACCCTGTTTGCCTTAGTTTCCTCATCTATAAAATAAGCTGAAGAAGGAAATGGCAAACCACTCCAATATCTCTGCAAAGAAAACCCCAAATGGGGCCACAAAGAGTAGGACATGACTGAACAATAACAACGTACATACAAGATATATACAGAATTAATAAAAGTAAATAGCATTAGGGAAGATCAGGAAAGGCCTTTTATAGAAGGTGGGATGTTATCACTGAGGGAAGGCAATAAGGTTAAGGAGCACTGAGAAGGGCTTCGTGCAGAAAGGGGGACTTTAGCTGAGATTCAGAGTCAGAAAATCTAGGAGACGAAGACCAAAAGTGAGAGGAAAAGGCATGGAGGACAGATAGCCAGGAAAAAATGCATGCAATCAGGAGTGTTGTATACTGGGAACAGCAAGGAGACCAGTGTCGTTGGGTGGAAGAATGTGAGGAGGGAAGTAAGGTATAAGAAGACTGGAAAAACAGGAAAGGCCAGGTAATGAAGAGCTTTAACAACCAAACAGAAGATTTTATATCTGATCCTGGAAGTAATAGGGAACTACCGGAGTTTATTGAATAGGAAAGTAACCTGGTCAGATCATGTATGCAAATTTTTACATTGATTCATATTTTCCTCATGGACAATAGTAGTAGCAGCAGTATTTATATACTCTCACTTTAAGGTTTTATAGTTACCTCTATTGATCCTCAAAACAATCCTGTGAAATGAATACTATTATTATCTCTATCATTTTGCAGATTGGGAAACTGAGTCTGAGAGAGATGAAGTGACTTGTCTAGGGTCACAGGGTGAAAGTATTTGAGACAGGATTTGAACTCATCTTCCTGATTCCAAGTCTGTCCCTTAATGTATAAAATGAAGGGGTTGGGCTAGATGACTCCTGTTCCCCTCTAACCTTGGATCTGGGAATTTATGTTCCTATAATTCTATAATTAGAATGAATTAGCGAGTCAGAAAGAAGTTGAGAACAGAGAGTTTCTTGCCCTTAGGTCTATGTACTTTCTGCTAAAAAACCATGGGCATATTAATGAGATAATTGCTTATAAATAATGGCTAATTACAAAGAACTTTTATGTCAATGATCCAGTTTGATCCCCTAAACCACTATGTGATGGTTTCTTCTATCCGTACTTATTAGCAGAATAGCATAATCCATAATCTGTGGGTTTCTAGAAGGTGATTAATTCATGATTCAAATCCAGACAATTTCAGGCACCATTACAGGCCTCACAGGTTTTTAGTTTGTATGGACTTTCTAGCATCCTCTGCTGCCTGTTCCACCAGTTTATTAAAATCTAATCCTAAGGTTGAAAGTCTACAAATTTTGTTCTCGCCACCTCAAAGAAGACATGGGAAATCTTTCTAGGCTTTTTTTCAGTTGTGCTTGATTATGCTTTTAGAGTTCTCAGTTCCTGGTTTGTGTCCCAAAGTCATAAAGTTGATTCATTTCTTTATTTTATTTCTTTTTTTATCCAAATTAAAATAAAATATTTCATGTTAATGGTACTTTAATTTATTCATGCTGTTGAAATATTGCCATTACTCTCATAATTAAGCACTCATATAATATTTCTAACATGCTTAGTTACACTACAAAAGAATACCTTCCTTACATATCATATGTATGGTGCTTATGACTTAAAAAATTATTCTACATTCATTATTGTCCCATTGACTTATATATATCTATATATCTATATATCTATCTATATATATATACACACACACACACACACACACACACACACACACACATATTCATATACACATACAAGCACACACATATATGTATATGTATAGGCAGGAATCATAATTTTTTGCCCTATTTACCTCATCGGGTATGATATCTCCAATAATTGATCCTTTAGTCTTGTCCTGAAGACCTCTAAGTTTGAGGGAAGAGGGATCCACTCATTAAGTCCCATGGTAGCACATTCTACCTTGGGATAATCCTTATTGTTGGGAAGTTAGCCTCAGTCTGCCTCCCCGTAATTCTTGTCTATTAATGTGAGTTTAGCCCTCTGGGGTCTAGCACTGCATGTTGCTGCCTTCTAAGAATATTTTAAACAGATTTCCTTGTTATTCAATTTTTCTTCTATAGTTTTGGACAGACCCACTGAGATAGTAATAATAATTATTGCAGAATTCATCCTACATGTAACAAGAATAATAGCTTCTAGCATAATTTCTCTCTGAACTCTATTGAAAAGGAAGAGAACAAATGATAATAATAATTAATAACTGACATGAATAAAATGCTTTAATTTTTGTGAAGAACTTTACTGAATGACCTCACTTGACCTGCACAACAACCTTATTGGTGTGTACTAAATGTGTTATTATTCCTTTTGTACTGATGAGGAAATAGGCTCAGAAAGGGTAAGAGCTTTACTTGCTCAAGAGACATACATGCAGCTGTACCATACCAATGTTATTATATGAAGAAGAGAGAAAATTAGAGGAACCACTGAGAAACAGTTAAAGTTAGAAATGCTAGCTTTGGAGTTTAGCTTGCAGACAGCTGGACCATGTGACGGGAATATTTTTAAATCTTGGAATGAAAAGCAATTAAGAGGGGAATCTGTTTGAGGATTTAGTTACAAACCCTTTTGGAAAAATGAACTGGAGCAAAGAAAGCAGTAGGGTGATAGACAGCCTTTGCCTCCCAGTGAGAAGATCTCAATTTCAAAACTTTGGTTTGGGTTCAAGGAACTCCATTCCAACTCCAGAGTCAGAGCAGATCAGAATTTAGAAAGTAGGCATGCAATGAGGATTAGAAAAGCAAATACTATCAAGACGAGTGAGAACTTACTTTTCTTGGCTTCATCGAGTTTATCTTTGGCTCGTTTTTCTGCCTGCAAGAGTTGCTGGATTCCCTGAGATTGACTGGCCAGCATTGTCTCGGTGGGATCAGGTTGTCTTGAGGAACTCTGATCCCAGGGGGGTGGTGAGAGAGATTTATACTTTCGGTTATCATCACATCGCTTGGAATGTTTTGTCAACAGATGCTGGGCATAGCTATCTTGCATCAAACTAGCTAGCTCAGGTCAGATAGCCATAGCACTCACAAAAAGCAGAGTACAATTCAGAAAATCAAGGTAATTTATTTCTAGGGACTTTCAGAACTTGCAATTTGGGGAGTCTAAGAGCTGTCTTACTTTTGATGAAAAGAGTTTCAGTTAATAGGAGGGGTAAAGTAGCATAACAGTAGAATGTTGAATTCGGCACCAGAAAGACATGGATTCAAATTTCATTTTTGACAGAACACTAGTGTGTGTCACTACAGACAAGACATTTAATCATTCTAAGCCTCAGTTTTCTTGTCTGTTAAATGTGGATACCTGAAATACAAACCTTATAGACTAGTTGTCAGGATCTAATGAAATAATGTATTTAAAGTGCTTTGCAATGTCTGAAGCATAATCAAAATGTCAGTTATCATTATTATCTATTTATATATTTAGAGCTGGAAGAAACTCTAGTATCTCATCCAACCTATCATTTTTTTTTTTTGGCTAGGCAATGGGGTTAAGTGACTTGCCCAGGGTCACACAGCTAGTGAGTATTATGTGTCTGAGGCCAGATTTGAACTCAGTTCCTCTTGACTCTAGGGCCAGTGCTCTTTCCACTGTGCCACCTAGCTGCCCCCCAACCTATCATTTTTTGAATAAAGAAACTGAGAGCAAAAGATTAAGTGACTTGTCTGAGGTCAAACAGTAAATGACAAAGGCAGTATTGGAACCCAGGCCCTTTGACTACAAAACCAATGCTCTCCTAGAGTTTTGTAACATGAGTATTAAACCAGATTTGAATAAATATGGTCATAGAGGAAATGACTATGAACTTGATGAAGGTGGATCTGAGCAACCTGCAAATACGGTGAACATTGTCTTTAAACTTTATTGGTGAAGTAAATTGACCAATAGGGAGCTGTGGATTTTAATTACAGGCAGGGAGAAGAGATTCCATTCAACCGCAGAAATATTTATGAATTTTTAATGTCTACTTTGTGTTAGGCACTGGAACAGAAGATAAAAAAAGGCAGTTCCTGCCCTCAAGGAACTAACAGTTTAGTAGAGGAATGTATCATGTGTATAAAGAATTACAATACAGGTCAGGGGGTGATTAAGTGTGGAATTATGAGACTGTGGCTTGAGAATGGCAAGAGGCCAGGATGAATTATGGTTTGGGAGATCAGAGATCTACACCTTAATTTATAATATATTGATTACTCTGTTGAAGTTTTATTTGTTGTTGTTCAGTTGTGTTCAACACTTCATGACCCCATTTGGGGTTTTCTTGGAAAAGATATTGGAGTACTTTGCCATTTCCTTCTCTAGCTCATTTTACAGATGAGGAAACTCAGGCAAATAAGGTTAGGTGACTTCCCTAGGGTCACACAGCTGGTGTCTAAGACTAGATTTAAACTCAGGAAGGTAAGTTTTCCTGACTCCAGGCTTGGCTCTCTATCCACTATGCCACCTAGCTGCCTCTTGAAGTTCGGTAGAAATCATCATTCAAGACTTACTTTTTTTTGGTCAGATGATAGGAATTTAAAACTTTTTCTTTAGTCATTTGCTTAGTGTGACTAAATTATTTGATTCAGATATATTGAACATCTCGAAAGGAAGACAATCCTTGATTATTTTCTTTAATTTGGAAGGGGAAGACATTTGTTCTTTTTCTTTCCTCTTCTAGGCCTCAGAAGACAAAGGTGCTAAATTTTCTTTGGATGTCTGTAGAAATGTGGCATGTAAGCATTCTCTGTAGCTCTAATTATGGGGGACGAAGTTTGTAATACTCTTCTTTAATTGACCCTTGTTACAGGAAACAATGGAGAAACTTGAGTGTAAATTAGAATCTTTAAAAAATTAATACAATAGAAGTGACATTGGGGCATATGGCATTTTTATTAATTGAATTAATTTGAAAACTAGTCAACAATGAGGCTAATGGGTCACTAGTGAGTTGCAGAGGCAGAATTTGAACATAAGTCTACTGCCAAATCCTGTCAGTTGTATTTCTCAGTATATGTTCCCTTTTCTCTTCTGACATCATCTTGGTGCATTAGGCTCAGTCTCCCTCAACTATAAAATGAGGATGTTAATATCACCTGTAGTACATACCTTGGGTGGCTAGGTGGTGCAGTGGCTAGAGCACCAGGCCTAGAATCAGGAAGACTCCTCTTCCTCAGTTCCAATCTGGCCTCAGACACTTACTAGTGGTGTGGCCCTGGGTAAGTCACTTAACCCTGCTGCTTCAGAAAGAAGGAAATGGCAAACTACTCCAGTATCTTTGCCAAGAAAATCCCAAATGGGGTCATGAAGAGTTGGACGTGACTGAAAAACAACTGAACAACAAAAGTATCTATCTCATAGGGTTGTTGTGAGTGTTCCGTGAGATGGTATATTTAAAGTACTTACAACCTTTAAGCCCTATACAAGCATCAGTTATTATTACCAAGTATTCTGTTACAATTTTAAGAGAACCAGGACTACAAACAAGGTGTACCTTGTGTCAAACACTCATGAGTCTCAGGACTCAAGTAGAGCTGGATTATTTTTATATTCTCTTGGTTGGGGTTATAGCCCCAACCCAGGAAACCCAGGAAAACCTAAGCTTAGCATCCCTCATTATAATGAGCCAGACTTTCTCGCTTGCAGTCACACAACTCATATGTATACAAAGTACTTTGCAAACCTTAATGCATTTTTTGAATGTTAGCTATTATTATAATTAACAATATTTAGTGTCTGTGTGAGTGCCGGGTGTGGTCCTCAGTGACAAAAGCAGGAAAAATCACTCAGCTCTTGCCCTAGAGGAACTTACAATCTGATTGGGGAAAGGAAAGGCAAACACAAGGAAATCCATATGACTGGCAATGACAAGAACACATATACACTTACCAAGCCAGCATTCCCATCTAAAGATCTACATGGAAATGCTATGTAATCAGAGAATTGGAACTGAAGAAATGGGTGGGGGCCCCATTCCCTGAAGGCAACTAGCTAAAGGATTGTTGACTTGTCGTGGGGAAGGGAGAAGGAAATAAACATTTATATAGAGCTTACTATGTGAGAGACAGTGTCCGAAGCCCTTTACAAATATTACCTCATTTTACCCTCAAAAGAACCCCTTGTGAGGTGGGTGTTGTTATTATCCTCATTTTCAGTTGAAGAAACTGAGGCAGAGAGAGGTTAAGTACGTCACATAGCTAGTATATGTTCAAGGACAAATTTGAACTCAGATCTTCCTGATTCCAGGTCCAGCTCTCTAACTATTTGGCCATCTGGCTGAAGAGATATGGCAGAGGTGAATCTTGATCAGGGTTTTGAATAAAATGAGAAACAAAGTGTAGTATTAAAGAATATGGAGCGCATTTCAGATGTTGGAAGTGGTATGGTGAATCCATATTAAAATATTTCAAAGTGTTTATGAGACCAGAAAAGTAGGTCTATTTGACAAGAGTAACTATACTGTTTAGAGTGAGAAGAAGCAAATCTGAGAAATGTTACAGGAAAATTGGCAGTTCTGAAAATGAAATAAATAGGTCTTTTCTGCTTATCCCCCAATTTCATATCACTTTATATTTATTTATATTTTGTTTAATTTTGAACATACCAAGTGAAAGGCAGAAAGAGACAGAGACAGAGAGACAGTCTTTGATAGAATGTAAGGTCCTTGGAGGCAAGCATTGTTGTATCCTCAGTGCCTATAGTACTTAATAGGTGTTTTATAAATGCTTGTTGATTGAGGTTACTGACTGATAATCAATAGAAAATATACTGATGGGGCTTGTGAGGGATGGGACTAGAAGCCTGGTCTCTTCTCCTCCTCCCACCATTGCCTCCCTCCTACCCCAGGGTTACTCTCAGAATTCTAAGGGAAAATAGTACCCACACACTAGGAACCCATCTTGCCAGAGGTGAGTACAAGTTGGGTGAGTAAGAGCTAGGAAGGTAGACGTAATACTCATTGTCTAATGTACTATTCCATAGGGCAATTGGCCTTCTGTTACCAAAAAGGTGGCCTAGAATACAACAAGGGGAATGACAATGGAAAATGAGGCAACAATCTTGCTGCTGATAGGGAGGGAAAAGTTGGAAAGAGGGATCAGTGAAGTTTGGAGGTGGGGAAAGTCTCACCGAAGAAATATTCAATTTCATTAGATGATGGTGTACAGGGCAGGCAGACACACTCAATAAATTTGTGTTGAAAACAAAAACTGTTGGCTAGAGAGAATAGAAGGTGCTGTATAGATACCAGATTCCATCTGGCTCTCCAAGGAGGGTGGGGACTGGATGTAGCTCTAATTACAGAAGATAGAAACATTTGGCTAGGAAACAATGGTGCTAGATAGCAGAGGTCAGAAGTCAAGGATAAATCAATAGCTTAACACTGGAGGCAGAGTTCATAAGGAGAATTCATTTTCCATTTAGAGATTTTGGTATGCATTACTAACAACAGACCTTTAATGCTATGTCTGAGTGAGTTGTATTTGTAACTTCTGCCATATAAAGTTGGTGATATTTTTGTACATGTTTTAGAATTATGAAAGTTAGAAATCTATTTAAGTCCCAGGATATTGACCCACCCTCTTATAATTAGCCTTACTGCCACCTATACTTTTAGAACCAAAAGTTCTTAACTTTCCTTTGGGTCACATTTGTTTGTTATTTCCTTTATGAAATTGTGAGCTCCTTGAGGCCAGGAATCATCTTTTGCCTCTTTTTGTAACCCAAGCACTTAGCACTGTGCCTGACACATAGTAGGTGTCTAATAAATGTTTATTGACTATTTTTTTTTGATTCATCGACCACTTTGGTAGCGAGAAATATATAGACCCCTTCTCAGGAATTGCACTTTTAAATGCATAAAATAAAATACATAGCATTACAAAGGAAATTACAACTATATTGAAATACAGTTATCTAACTATTTAAAAAAAAACAC